GATTCAATCATTGTCTTCATAATCAAATGATTTCCCTCATGATTTTCTTAGAGATTTAGCGTGAAATTCACTGACTGAGAGGAAGAGAAGTAAAGAAAAAATGGAGGCTAGAGGCTTAGTGAAATTTACACATTATTCTGCTTTCTTTATTTTAAGGAGTTAGAGAAATAGAAAATCACTTGCCATAACCTCCTTCAACTAACCTCCCTCACTCCCATATGTCTTATGTGGGAGTGAGACCGCCCCACGTAAGAGGGTGGGCTGATCGAATCTTTTAGAAGATTTTTGTCCATAAATAGCTGCCAAAGACAGGCAAAAGCTCATCATTCTCATTAAATAAATTTATAATTTTACACATTATAGGAATTAAATAATAAAAATTTTACTAAAGAACCTCTATGCCCTTTCATTTTAATAAAGCCCTGCCATTTGAATAATTAAGCTAGTAATCAGAGATTGGGTAAAATCATTAGTAATTTCTACCTCTTGTAAAAATGCCTATAAACGATCTCTTTAGCAATCCTAATCAATGAGTTGGCTTGAGTTTCGATAAATTCCAATAAAGCCTTACGAATAGACTTTTTAAAATTAGAAATTTGCTAGCGGAAGAACACAAGTGTCGTCTTTAACACAGAAGCAGTAAATATTAATGATGGCTTTAACTAATCTTCTGTTAACTAAGCATGAAAAAATTCCCATAATTTTATTCAGTTTTCTCCATAGGATTACATGAATTAAATAATTACATGAATTAAAAATATAATTTAGATATTTCTTAAAAGAAAAAAAAACAAACTTCTAAAAGCATCCGACTAATATGAAGCAAAATTCTGCTTCATATTTTTCAATAAAATGCTTGTACATTTTATTTTGTGCTCTGCTATATAATGTTGGAGTGGAAGCAAACAAGTTCCATGTCCAAGTTTTACCTGCTGAGTATTCTTGGAATGTCTCTGTTAGCTGCAAGGACTGCCATTATATGAATTCCCAGGTATCTAAATATATTTAAAAATAAATCAAAATATATTAAATAGAACACAGATGGATCGGACTATCTAACGTTTGATGTCAGCAGCTACAACAACAAAATCAAGCAACTAAAAGTAACTATCCAGTCTGCTGGTGTAATTAAAGACCAGATCCGGGTATTATTTTGAAATTTCATAATTATGTATTTTTTGTAAATAGTCTCAAAAATGGACTCTTAATGTCAGACGAAATGGAAACAAAGAGGGGAATTTTTTTGATTTTGATAAACTACACCAATTCAATTTTGGTCAATTTAAGCCTGAAGGGCAGAATTTTTTCTTAGATATTAAGGTCTGTATATTTTATTGTATTTGTTTATTATGAGACAGCTCAGGCAATCACTCAATGGTGAATGTGAGAAAATCTCACCAGAGGATTCAAAGCTTGAGATTTTGAATCCTCTGGTGAGAATGAGACAATATAGATCTCGAAATCTAGTGAATCAACTAAATATTCTATCAATTTCAGGCAATAAATGCCGACGAACTTCAGCAAATTCCTGAAGAATTCAAAAAATATTTTGCATCTATTTCTGGATTCAAAGAAGAGATTGAATTGAGCCGTGAACAGTTTTATGATTCTGAACTAATTCGACTTGATTTGATGGGGAAGACATCAAAACCCACACTGAAAAAGACGTTATCTTCGTTGTCTCCATTATCATCCTCAAAAAAGTTACTTCGATCAAGCAGCAGCAAATCAGGGACAACAAGCCGCAGCGAACCTAGCGCAATTGAAAAATACATTACAAAATACGCTAATCCAGAGCTGAAAGTCAGCATATATATGGTGATATTTTATTCATAAATTATTTATTAATGATCATTTATAATTTAATGATAATTCTATTTTTTTAAATTGCTAGAAAAAATTATTATCATAATTCACTAAAAAATGAAGCATTTACCTAAAATTTATATATTTAGAAGGTTAAATGTGGTATGTGTGGTTCCGATGAGAATCCATTTGCTAAGGATGTGGTCTACAAAATTGATCATGCCGTGAAATATTTATTTTAGTTTTTTGTTAATTAAGCATTTTAGGGCTATTATCGTTGTAAATCATGCAAAGATGAATATATGAATACTAAAAAGTAAAATTTTACTATATTTTTGGTAATGTTATATTTTCTGGCATAATCCAGAGAGACGGATGCCACAAACCCATCGCGTTTTTGCGGTTTACTAATTTAGCTACACTACTAATTTAGCTATGAGTCCGCCTAATAATTTAGTTTTGAGTTCGCCTACTAATTTAGGCTATAAGTTTAGTTCGACATTTTTAGCCTCTTTGTTTCTAACTAGCGTGAAACAAAACCGTTTAGCTAAACGGTATACGGTAAACGGGTTTTTTGGTGAAATTAAACGTTTTGTCTCACCGTATTTCTAATTTTAAAAATCACAAGACTAAACAAACTCTTGCAGTTAATCTAATGGAGTTTAAAATGCTTTCACAAACATTTAAATTTTTATAAATTTGAAAAATTTTTTTAATGAATTAAGTGTCTACCATTCACCAACAATAGAAAAGTTTAAACTTCCCTCATTGAGCCGTACAATCAGAAATCCAATTCTACAGGTATTTAAAATCACAAGTAAAACTAAAAACACTTTTAAAGAACGGCAATGGCCTTGGATTTACCTACATATTTGATTTTGGTGAGGGGGAGACAGGTGAAAACATCAATTACGTTCAACTTGTCGATGTGCCTCCAAATAACTCACATAATGAAAGCACCTCAAGCCATGTTCCAGAATATGGTTTTCAAACTCCGGAGCATCCTACAAATATTTTTACTGATTTCCAAAATCTAAATTTGGGAGGTGGAAGCTATGGAAATGGTGGAAACGAAACAGAGAGGCCTAATTTTGCAGCTATGCATGGAGGGCAAGGAACTCGGTATGTTTAATATGCTATTTTCTGAAATGTATTTCAAAATATTTTTATAAACCTGAGGGTTTCTGCCTCTAGAATATAAACTTTCTGATATGAAATTATTTACGATTTTTGTAGTAGTAGAAACAGAGTCACATTTTTACTAGTGACTTTCAAGACCAAAAATTTTCCAAAACTCAAGACCAAGACTTGACCCCAAGACTCAAGACTGCGACTAGCCAGCGGCAAACTTTTGAATAAAAAATAATTTTATTAGTAGTGGATTTAAGTTTATGTTTTTAGACTTAATTTTGATGAAGCAAGTAACAGCTCCGGAAGTAGTGGAAAGAAAAGTAGAGGAAGACCTCCCAAGCATGTAAGCCCTCAAACGACTCATGGAGAGTAAGTTCAATTGGATTAATTATTCTTAATATGTATCTAAAATTTTCTGCCCTCATTGACTTTATGGAAATAAAAAAATTATTTAAATTCATTTTAAACCTTTATCCCGCCAATTTTAAGTGCTCAACCAAATTTGGTCAAAACGCGGAAGGGAGCTCAACCAAAGATGAAAAAAGTTTCTAGTATGCCTGTTGAAAGAGGTAATTTAGAGCCTGAAGATGATACAAATAATAGTGGTGATTCGTCAGACAGTAATTCTGTTTACAGTAGTAAGATAAAAATTATAGATAAATAATTTTATCTAAATTATTAAGATTTTGGAGGCGGATTGGATCATGATGGTCAATCTGTACAAACGAGTGGTGGAATGTCTTATCCAGGATATGGATTTCACAACAACGGTGAACAATATTCGTATGGTGCATTTGGAGGAATGTACAATCACGGAGGTGCCGATAAAACCTTTCATAGAAGTGCATCTATGCCTGTACACAATAACGGTGAACAAAATTGGGATGACAATCACGGAGTACATACTTGGACTGGCCATGACGGAGGACACAGTTGGAATGAAAATAACGGAGAGCAAGGTTGGAATGGCAATCACGGAGTACATACTTGGACTGGCCATGACGGAGGACACAGTTGGAATGAAAATAACGAAGAGCAAGGTTGGAATGGCAATCACGGAGTACATACTTGGACTGGCAACAACGGAGGACACAGTTGGAATGAAAATAACGGAGAGCAAGGTTGGAATGGCAATCACGGAGTACATACTTGGACTGGCAACAACGGAGGACACAGTTGGAATGAAAATAACGGAGAGCAAGGTTGGAATGGCAATCACGGAGTACATACTTTGGAACAACAAGGATACCCACCATTATATGGCTCTAATAGCAGCCATAATGGTTATGCCCACTCTATGCATCATGATCATTTTGGAGGTATTTCTGATCATTAAAAATTTACTTACAATTATTGCCAAGAAATTTTTTTTTTAAATTTTAAATTATAAATTTTTATTCATACCAAAGGGTATATACTATACCGCTGAAATGGATGAGTACAAAAAAAAATAAAAATATTGTGAAAAATAAATATATTTAAGTTAGAATTAGAAGGAATGATAGTCATTTCGAGAAATTAACAAACAAAAATATTTAAGCTGTTTAAAGATATTTTGAGTTTTGCTTAAAAGAAAAAAAATATATATTGGGAATGAGAAAATATGTAAATTATGTTGGAAATGAAAAAAAATAAATAAATTTAGAAATGAGAAAATAACTGAATTTAAATCTATGTATAAGTATGTCAATTTTGGGGGGTGTGGAGATTGTCATAAAGAAAAATAAATAAGGTTTATATTGCCGGTCAAAACGTTAATCTGCTTGTGAATATAGTAGTTTTTTGAATTTAAAATTAAAAGACGTAATTTTTTAAAATAATTATGGTGATTATTCAGGGATTCTTTAATATTTAGGGTTGAGATTTGTATTGGCTTTAGGTTATTATTTTATTTTTTTAAGTTATTATTTTTTGTTTTTGAAGAATTTGGGGCAGTATGGGTCTTAAATTGGTCTTGAAACTATTTAATGTGTGGTCTGTAAAAATATTTTTTGGAATTATGTTCCAAATATTTACTGTTCTGTTTATAAAGGAATTTATTGTTTTGGCGTTTTTATCAGAAACCTGGATAATATAATCGTGCTTTCTGCTTGGGCGTGTATTTAAGGTGAAAAGCTCATTTGGGATCAAACTTGTATGGTTAAATAAAATTTTGTATAATGTTATGACATCTATATAATACCTTCTAACTTGTAGCGGCTCGAGTTGGAATAATTTTAATCTTTCAGTATAGTTAAGTTTCTTCCTTTTACATTTTAAGAGAGCGATCTTAGTGAAGAATTTTTGTACCCTTTCTAAATCCTTAGTTAATTCCTTTGAAGTTGGGTTCCATATTGGAGATCCATATTCTAGGGTAGGAAGAATATATGTTTTAAATATGTTACCCCAAGTTTTGGGATTGGATGTATGGATGTGACGTAGTACTTGGTGGGACCTTAAAAAGCCAAGTTTGCATATATTTTTAATGTGATTTTTGAAGGTAAGTTTATTGTCGATAAGGATGCCTAGGTCTTTTACTGTTTCGACGTGTTGTATTTCATGGTTTATAAGATTATACGAATTTTTTGGATTTTTTGTACCTATATTGAATATAAAAGATTTATTGAGAGATATATTTAGGCCCCAATCTTTTACCCATGAATTAAGGATATCGATTTTCTCCTGTAGGAGATTGTCTTGTGTTTTATAAATATGGGTTATCTTAATGTCATCAGCGTATAGTGATGTAAAAACATTATCCCCTAATTTTGATGGGAGGTCATTTATATAGATCGTAAATAATAGGGGGGCTAAGATCGAGCCTTGTGGAACCCCGGAAAATATTGGTAATGTGTTTGATTCATCATTATTGATTCTTACAGAGAAGGTACGATTAATGAGAAAGTTACTTATCCATCTGTGGATTTTGCCCCTAATTCCATAAGAATATAGTTTGTTCAGGAGGTGTTTCGTGGGGACCTGATCAAAAGCCTTTTGTAGATCAATATATAGTACATCAATATTTTTTTTTGCACAGAAGGCCCTCATACCATTTATTAAGGGTTAGTATAAGTTGGGTTGTTGTTGACCGTTTAGGTAGGAAACCAAATTGATTTTTGGATAGTAAATTATTTTCTAATAGGAAGTTCAACACTTCTGAATGTATTATTTTTTCAAAAATTCTACAAGTAGTAGAAGTGAGTGATATAGGTCTATAATTTTGGATCTCTGATTTATTTCCATTTTTAAATATAGGTATGATTGTTGAGTGTTTCCATTTGTGTGGGATTTCCCCGGTGTCTAATGAAATACGAAAAATCTCGCATAGGTTCGGAGCAATTATGTCGTGGAAATTTTTAAGAATCTTGTAGGGTATGTCTTCTTGTGTGGAGGAGTTTCTGTTAGGTAGTGCTTTAAGAATGTTGGCGACAGTTATTATGTCAAAGTCTATGTCTTCGATTTGATTTTGACATATTACAGGAAACGTGTTTTTTAAATTTTGGTTAGTTGGTATATTGTTAAATAATGCGGAAAAGTGTGTTGCAAAAGCTTGCGATTTTTTTGAATCTTCAATTAAATATTCATTGTTATTAATAAGTACTGGAATAGTTTGCTTGGATTTTATATGTGTTTTTATATGCTTGTGTATTAAGTCTTTGTTGTTAGAGATCTTGGAAATAGAGTTATTTTGATAATTTCTGACTAGGTATTTAATTTTATTGGACATTTTATTGTATTCGATTTTTAATGAAGGGTTTTGTTTCATTTGTTTGAAGAGAGTATATTTATCTTTAATTGCTTTTTGTATATGGGGTGGGTAATGGTGGCCTGATTGGGATTTGTTTAGTGTAAGAGGAATATTTTGCTCAATTATTGTTTGAAACAGTGCAAGAAAGTTATCAAATTTTTCGTTAACTGAGTTGGATATGGTTGGGAAAGATTCCATTAATGAAAAGTTATATGCTACGATTGGTTTTATTTTGTTTATGTTAGATTTAGTAAAAGCACGATACAAGGTATTTTGGGTTAGATCTTTTGTAAATTTGATATCAAAATCTACCCGGAAGTGGTCGGAGGTTGAAAACCCATCCTTAACTTGAACATTATCTATTAAATTTATTTGGTTAGTGATAATTAAGTCGAGAATTGAGCCCGAGATGTGTGTTGGGTCTTTAATTAGTTGTTTAAATTGATAGTTTGTTATAAAATTTAAAAATGTTTCGTCCAGGGCTAGCGAGGAGGAAAGAGTATTCCAATTTATTTTTGGTTTATTGAGGTCACCGCATATGATTGTGTTAAAAGTATAGAATTTTTTGAGAGTTTTAATTAGCTGTTCATTTGAATTTTTTGTGAGATTGGGTGGAAAGTATATTAATATAAGTCGTAAGTTTGAAGAACCTTTTTTTATAATGTCAATAATGATTAATTCGTATCCAAATTGGGTTTGGGTATAAACCTCAGCCGCTTTTATTGGATTTAGTGTTAGTATTGCTACTCCTCCTCCCTTTTTTTCTTTTCAGAGGAGCGATTACAAGTAAATACTGTGTATTTTCCTTTGGCATTTAATTCATTAGAAAGCATGATATTATCGTGTATCCAGGTTTCTGTGACGCAAATTATATCATATTGATTTTGTAATATAAAGTTTTTAAATTCCTTAATTTTGTTAATAAGGGATCGGCTGTTTATTAGAACAGATTTTAGGCTTGTAAATTTTTGTTTGTTTTTATTATAGAGTGTAATACTTGTATTGTTTATTTTAGAACAGTATGTATTTGTAAAATTTAAGGGGTTTTGAATGTGGCTGTGGTTGAGATATCTTTTACCTAAATATTTTAGAATCCCTGGATTATCCTATATAAGTGTCTTGCGGAGATTGGGAATATTTTCGCGTAACGTAATAGTGTTGGCATAAATTATCCAGTCACCTTTGTCTTCAGACCTCTTTTTTGTGCATTCAGCTTGCAAATTCTTTCGAGCCGTGCGTTCTTCCAATGTCAAAGATTGTCTGATGCCCAAATTGCGGAATAATTGTACTTCTTTAATTTTGTTTCGTAGTTTGGACCAAGAGTGTAGAGTGGATTTCTGAAAATAAGAAGACGGAAAGACGACCTTGAGAAGGGGTGGAGCACCTTTCTTAGTTGGGTGGTCCTTGCCTAGCCTATATACCGACTGTGGGCAAATCTCGATACCCAACTTATCGAGAATACAATTAACATTTTGCTTATCATCGTTAGCTCGTGCAGAGGGTAAAGATTGGGTGGATGAAGGGAGACCTGAAATAACCACTGAGCGCTTCCTTTCCTTTTCGGAGATAGCATTTTCTATTTGTTGTTGGGAAATTTCTGGATGGTGAGTCATTTCTGTGATTATACATGCTGCAGTTTTTAATAGGTTATTAAGTTGGGAAATGATGGTTTTGGCTGCTGGTGATATTGAGGGGTCTTCCTGAATGGGATCAAGGCTAAGATTGGCAATTTGGTCCAAAAATTGTTGTCTTTTTGCTGGTTGTTCAGGCGAAGAAGGAGTGAATGGACGTTTTATTGGAATTTTGTTGGAATTAGAAGCAGAGTTAGAATTAGAAGGAATGATAGTCATTTCGAGAAATTAACAAACAAAAATATTTAAGCTGTTTAAAGATATTTTGAGTTTTGCTTAAAAGAAAAAAAATATATATTGGGAATGAGAAAATATGTAAATTATGTTGGAAATGAAAAAAAATAAATAAATTTAGAAATGAGAAAATAACTGAATTTAAATCTATGTATAAGTATGTCAATTTTGGGGGGTGTGGAGATTGTCATAAAGAAAAATAAATAAGGTTTATATTGCCGGTCAAAACGTTAATCTGCTTGTGAATATAGTAGTTTTTTGAATTTAAAATTAAAAGACGTAATTTTTTAAAATAATTATGGTGATTATTCAGGGATTCTTTAATATTTAGGGTTGAGATTTGTATTGGCTTTAGGTTATTATTTTATTTTTTTAAGTTATTATTTTTTGTTTTTGAAGAATTTGGGGCAGTATGGGTCTTAAATTGGTCTTGAAACTATTTAATGTGTGGTCTGTAAAAATATTTTTTGGAATTATGTTCCAAATATTTACTGTTCTGTTTATAAAGGAATTTATTGTTTTGGCGTTTTTATCAGAAACCTGGATAATATAATCGTGCTTTCTGCTTGGGCGTGTATTTAAGGTGAAAAGCTCATTTGGGATCAAACTTGTATGGTTAAATAAAATTTTGTATAATGTTATGACATCTATATAATACCTTCTAACTTGTAGCGGCTCGAGTTGGAATAATTTTAATCTTTCAGTATAGTTAAGTTTCTTCCTTTTACATTTTAAGAGAGCGATCTTAGTGAAGAATTTTTGTACCCTTTCTAAATCCTTAGTTAATTCCTTTGAAGTTGGGTTCCATATTGGAGATCCATATTCTAGGGTAGGAAGAATATATGTTTTAAATATGTTACCCCAAGTTTTGGGATTGGATGTATGGATGTGACGTAGTACTTGGTGGGACCTTAAAAAGCCAAGTTTGCATATATTTTTAATGTGATTTTTGAAGGTAAGTTTATTGTCGATAAGGATGCCTAAGTCTTTTACTGTTTCGACGTGTTGTATTTCATGGTTTATAAGATTATACGAATTTTTTGGATTTTTTGTACCTATATTGAATATAAAAGATTTATTGAGAGATATATTTAGGCCCCAATCTTTTACCCATGAATTAAGGATATCGATTTTCTCCTGTAGGAGATTGTCTTGTGTTTTATAAATATGGGTTATCTTAATGTCATCAGCGTATAGTGATGTAAAAACATTATCCCCTAATTTTGATGGGAGGTCATTTATATAGATCGTAAATAATAGGGGGGCTAAGATCGAGCCTTGTGGAACCCCGGAAAATATTGGTAATGTGTTTGATTCATCATTATTGATTCTTACAGAGAAGGTACGATTAATGAGAAAGTTACTTATCCATCTGTGGATTTTGCCCCTAATTCCATAAGAATATAGTTTGTTCAGGAGGTGTTTCGTGGGGACCTGATCAAAAGCCTTTTGTAGATCAATATATAGTACATCAATATTTTTTTTTGTGCAGAAGGCCCTCATACCATTTATTAAGGGTTAGTATAAGTTGGGTTGTTGTTGACCGTTTAGGTAGGAAACCAAATTGATTTTTGGATAGTAAATTATTTTTTAATAGGAAGTTCAACACTTCTGAATGTATTATTTTTTCAAAAATTCTACAAGTAGTAGAAGTGAGTGATATAGGTCTATAATTTTGGATCTCTGATTTATTTCCATTTTTAAATATAGGTATGATTGTTGAGTGTTTCCATTTGTGTGGGATTTCCCCGGTGTCTAATGAAATACGAAAAATCTCGCATAGGTTCGGAGCAATTATGTCGTGGAAATTTTTAAGAATCTTGTAGGGTATGTCTTCTTGTGTGGAGCAGTTTCTGTTAGGTAGTGCTTTAAGAATGTTGGCGACAGTTATTATGTCAAAGTCTATGTCTTCGATTTGATTTTGACATATTACAGGAAACGTGTTTTTTAAATTTTGGTTAGTTGGTATATTGTTAAATAATGCGGAAAAGTGTGTTGCAAAAGCTTGCGATTTTTTTGAATCTTCAATTAAATATTCATTGTTATTAATAAGTACTGGAATAGTTTGCTTGGATTTTATATGTGTTTTTATATGCTTGTGTATTAAGTCTTTGTTGTTAGAGATCTTGGAAATAGAGTTATTTTGATAATTTCTGACTAGGTATTTAATTTTATTGGACATTTTATTGTATTCGATTTTTAATGAAGGGTTTTGTTTCATTTGTTTGAAGAGAGTATATTTATCTTTAATTGCTTTTTGTATATGGGGTGGGTAATGGTGGCCTGATTGGGATTTGTTTAGTGTAAGAGGAATATTTTGCTCAATTATTGTTTGAAACAGTGCAAGAAAGTTATCAAATTTTTCGTTAACTGAGTTGGATATGGTTGGGAAAGATTCCATTAATGAAAAGTTATATGCTACGATTGGTTTTATTTTGTTTATGTTAGATTTAGTAAAAGCACGATACAAGGTATTTTGGGTTAGATCTTTTGTAAATTTGATATCAAAATCTACCCGGAAGTGGTCGGAGGTTGAAAACCCATCCTTAACTTGAACATTATCTATTAAATTTATTTGGTTAGTGATAATTAAGTCGAGAATTGAGCCCGAGATGTGTGTTGGGTCTTTAATTAGTTGTTTAAATTGATAGTTTGTTATAAAATTTAAAAACGTTTCGTCCAGGGCTAGCGAGGAGGAAAGAGTATTCCAATTTATTTTTGGTTTATTGAGGTCACCGCATATGATTGTGTTAAAAGTATAGAATTTTTTGAGAGTTTTAATTAGCTGTTCATTTGAATTTTTTGTGAGATTGGGTGGAAAGTATATTAATATAAGTCGTAAGTTTGAAGAACCTTTTTTTATAATGTCAATAATGATTAATTCGTATCCAAATTGGGTTTGGGTATAAACCTCAGCCGCTTTTATTGGATTTAGTGTTAGTATTGCTACTCCTCCTCCCTTTTTTTTCTTTTCAGAGGAGCGATTACAAGTAAATACTGTGTATTTTCCTTTGGCATTTAATTCATTAGAAAGCATGATATTATCGTGTATCCAGGTTTCTGTGACGCAAATTATATCATATTGATTTTGTAATATAAAGTTTTTAAATTCCTTAATTTTGTTAATAAGGGATCGGCTGTTTATTAGAACAGATTTTAGGCTTGTAAATTTTTGTTTGTTTTTATTATAGAGTGTAATGCTTGTATTGTTTATTTTAGAACAGTATGTATTTGTAAAATTTAAGGGGTTTTGAATGTGGCTGTGGTTGAGATATCTTTTACCTAAATATTTTAGAATCCCTGGATTATCCTATATAAGTGTCTTGCGGAGATTGGGAATATTTTCGCGTAACGTAATAGTGTTGGCATAAATTATCCAGTCACCTTTGTCTTCAGACCTCTTTTTTGTGCATTCAGCTTGCAAATTCTTTCGAGCCGTGCGTTCTTCCAATGTCAAAGATTGTCTGATGCCCAAATTGCGGAATAATTGTACTTCTTTAATTTTGTTTCGTAGTTTGGACCAAGAGTGTAGAGTGGATTTCTGAAAATAAGAAGACGGAAAGACGACCTTGAGAAGGGGTGGAGCACCTTTCTTAGTTGGGTGGTCCTTGCCTAGCCTATATACCGACTGTGGGCAAATCTCGATACCCAACTTATCGAGAATACAATTAACATTTTGCTTATCATCGTTAGCTCGTGCAGAGGGTAAAGATTGGGTGGATGAAGGGAGACCTGAAATAACCACTGAGCGCTTCCTTTCCTTTTCGGAGATAGCATTTTCTATTTGTTGTTGGGAAATTTCTGGATGGTGAGTCATTTCTGTGATTATACATGCTGCAGTTTTTAATAGGTTATTAAGTTGGGAAATGATGGTTTTGGCTGCTGGTGATATTGAGGGGTCTTCCTGAATGGGATCAAGGCTAAGATTGGCAATTTGGTCCAAAAATTGTTGTCTTTTTGCTGGTTGTTCAGGCGAAGAAGGAGTGAATGGACGTTTTATTGGAATTTTGTTGGAATTAGAAGCAGAGTTAGAATTAGAAGGAATGATAGTCATTTCGAGAAATTAACAAACAAAAATATTTAAGCTGTTTAAAGATATTTTGAGTTTTGCTTAAAAGAAAAAAAATATCTTTTGTATTCTCTAATAATAATTAATTGTATTCTCTAATAATAATTATAAATATAGATGGGGCTCCTTCAGTTTTTGGTCAGCCTTATGATGAAAATGAATCAAAGTGGTAGTTCTGATGATTCAAAAAAGAAGTCGGATGTTATGAAAACTTTTGAGGATGCTTTTGAGGATTTTTGCTTTACTCACGATTTTTTTGGCAACTAGAAATATCGTCTTATAACTTTGATTCACAAATGTTGTGCTTTTTCCAATTCCTTTGATCGCTATAAGACGTTATTTCTATTATACCATATGGGGATTTAAATAGGGTAAAATGGGTTATTTAACGTTATTTTTTGATTATTTTAAGATATTACGGGCTCAAAAAATTTTTGTATGTCGATATGCATGAGAAGCGAAAAATTGGATTGGACGAGCACTTCAGGGCTCGATTCTTAGAATTTTTGATAATTTTTAGCTAATTTTATTGCATATCTAGCATTCAAAATTTTTTTGTATGTTTTATTGCATATTTTGGGATTTACTCGGTTCATTTATATATTTTTCAATGGTTATTTTGTGGAGCAAGTACTGATGTTTAATAGTCATGGTCGAGACTCTCGGTTCCCAAGCTCTCGGTCTCGGGGTTGATTCCCTGTCGCGGTCTCGACTCTCGATTCTTGGCTTTTTTAACTCCCAACCATCACTAGTATTTAAGACAGCGAGTTTTATTTTTACAATTTTTTATTTAAAGAATTTTCATATTTTTTATTTAAAGATTTATCATTTTTAAAGTGTTTTGATTTTTAAAATTTTTGATTTTTATAAAATCTTTGGGAAAGTTTACTTTTTTTATTTGAAATAATTTAAAGTATAGGAGATACCAAAATATTTATCCAAACTGATATGGAAAAGCTTATAACATTACGGCTTTATTTGAACGATTTATCTCCTTTATTTTTTATAAGTCCGATTCTTTATCGAATCCTTATTGCATTTTGAAATGATATTTTTGACAGCTCCACAAACCTAAATAAAATTTCCAAACAATTTAAAAATAATTTTAAAACAAACAAGATAGCGAGGATCCCATCCATGATAGGAAGTTCCGTCGCAAAAGTCCTGAATTTAAATTGAGTTTAAATTTTATAACTTTGATTATATAGTAGGGTCATTTTTACAGTCATTTTTAATTTTACAGACCCCCCCCCCATTCCAATGACACACCTTTATCTTACATTAAATCATTATTTCAAAGATAGGTCCGAATTCCGAGTTCCAACGTTTTTTCCTTCCGATTTCCAATTTCCAAAAAAAATTTTGATTTCCTATTTCCGGGTTCCGACTTTTGAGAAAGTTCCGATTTCCGACTCTTCCGATTTCCGACCCCTCTGACTGTTCCGAAACACCTCTGAAAAATATACGGGGTAAATGTTCTATGTTTTATCCTCTATCATTTAAGCATTAATTGATCCCATTTTCTTTAATTTGAAGAAAGATATGGCAAAAAACGCGTGCCCGGTTGCTTTTGGGCGCTCTACAAATTCAACAGAATTATTAGAATCTTAGGAAAATACACCAATACTTTTTATAGAATTCCGATTTATTCTTTAAAAATTTCCTTCACCTGGCAGACCCCATATAAACCAACAACTCCATGCTCCGCACAGCACTTTGTATTGTTATTTCCTCCAGTGTAACAGGAAATAAAATCTTAAATTAACGAAATTTTGTGATTTAACGTAGGGTTCGATACCTGAATTGCAGCTTGCCAGACACCATTGTTCAAATAAAGTAAAGTCCGGAGGTGGATACGAGCAAACTAGATAAATATTTTGATTGGATTGGCAGATCCTGGAATATCCCCGGATCCGGATATTCCCGGATTCGGATATTACCGGATCCGGATACATCCTGATCCGGTAATTTTGAAGTTCTTACCCCCCTCTACTTTCCTATTTTTCTTACTCAAGGTATAAAAATGGTCAGTTTTCAGAGGAATGTATATTACAACATCTGTGTCGAATGACTCCAAAATCAAAAAATCCGACTTGATTTGACTGAGATACATACTCCTGAAATCAGAAAAACCATAGGGGCGGAAAGTTTAAGCAATTGATAGCTCATTCGAATGAGCTCGGCGAGTTGAGTCGAATGACATCAAAATCAACGCGATTGGACAAGATCAGGGATTAGAATTTTAATGGAAAAAATTTTCCTATGACACTACTAACATAAAAGTGTGGGTGGCTGAAACATGTTACACGATATATGTTTTATCCAAGAACACTTATTCTTCAAAGAGGAATGTTGTCAGAAATGACTCTTCAAAGAGTTAAGTTATAAATGTTTTTAGATATCTATTGCCGTACCTATACTTCCTAATTACATCAAAAATTTTCAAGGGTTCTGAGAGTTATTAAACTAACTACCTTCAGAACAGCTAACATTCTTTTCCTCACAACAAGCCTTAAACTTGTCGCTAACGCGATCTTTAACTCCGGTGGATTCACTCGAAGATGAAACTACTTCTGGAATCATAATAGCACAGATAATAACGATAAAAATTGAGTAGAAATAAAAGTATTTGTTCATGTTTGTTGAGTAAACTTGAAGATTTTTTGAACTAAATTTTGAATTATTTAAGTTAGTAAAATGGAATCAGTGCATGATGCAATAGAGGATTATTTAGAATTTTAATATGATATTCTAATTTGTACATATAAATCGAATTTTAGGAATGCGGATTGCGTAAAATTGTGTGTGATTTATGGACTGCGGAGTGCGTCTCCGGATTTTATGTTAAAATTTTGGAGGGCGGTTTTGGATTTTTTTCCGTTTGTGCCTAGTCTTAATTGGAATGGAACTATTAAAACTCTAATTATGAAACTAAAATAATTATAAATTATATTGATATAATATTATAAAAATAAATTTTGAATGCTATAATATTTACTATTTTCGTTCAAAGAAAAATAAACAAAAATTTAGTGAGTCATTTTTATCAACTGGAAAGGGAAAAGTATTATATTCTATAGCAGTCTAAAGGCTGGTCACTGCCCCCAACGGAACAAAAATTAGATAATTTTTTTAAATAATAGTTTGAGGCAAATGAAAATAATCTGAATGAGAAAAATTTTAAAAAATATGTAAAATAATTTTAATTGCTGTTTTAAAAGAGGGTTGGAATTTCCCAATTGATAAAATAATCGGCACTTGTTGGTTATGTGCCGCACTTTAAAATGTTTAAAAAGGGTCATGAACAAACATCAACGTGATCGAACAAGTTTGGAGAAAGTTACGGCACAAAATAAACCAAGTAAACCTATAGAAGTGACAATCTTGAGAATTATTATCTCGGTTCAAAACTCTTTTTAAACATTTTTAAATTGCGGCACATAACCAAAAGTACCAAATAATCCAGTTTAGTGGTTTGCTTAAAATTTTTTCTGTGGGCCTGGGCCGAATCTTGGGCCTGTAGTGCCATCCTACATTGATTGGCTATAACTTTTCTGAGCTTGAAACAGTTCAAATATATCCTATATCATTTGAAAGACCTTGTTAAGAGGTACCTTTTTTATAGGATAGATCAAATCTATTAAAAAGTTAGACACCATGAGTCCAGTTATTAAGTGTTTTTCACATTTAAAGTGTTATAACTTTTAACGAGTTATCAGGTTTTAAAGCCGATCAAATTCGGCTGGCACTCAGTTTGTGGGCGTATAACCGATAAGGGGATCAACCCAGAAAATCAAAACCGAGAAGGTCAATAACCTTTAGGTCAAGACACAGGAGACCCTGAGATTAACGGGGATTAAGAGACATAGGGCGGAAATACTCTAGCAGCTTGAGTATTTGACCTTTTGGGTCATTTGACCTCCTGGGTTTTGACCTTCTGGGGTGGACCCCCGATAAGTACCAATTTTTGTCCAAAAGTCAATATAAAACAATTCATCATCAATTTTTTTGGCGTTCCCAAAAAACCATTTTTAGAAAATCATTTTTAAAACTTTTATCAATTTCTAAAATTTTTCTCTTCAATTAAATTTTCTGCCTCAGCTGCCAAATAGTAATTTTTAAACCAATTTTGTTTCCATTGTGTTTTAATATTTTTTATTTACGTTCTAACCAAAATATTTGGAACCGGTTTTTAATTAACACTTTTGTTAATTTTAAATGCGCATAACATTTTTAGTCTTCATTATTTTTTAATTTTAGAACATTTTGATTAATTCATCATTTTTTAAAATTTTTTTTATCTATTTAAATACAAATTATTTTTTATCAAAATTTCTAAAATTAAACTACCAAAAATTAAAAAAGGCCGATTACTTTAAAAAATTAAAGAAAAAATTTCGGTATACGACATAGACACCGATTACATAAGTCGATTAATATGCCATTCGTAAGAGCTGAGTCGGATGACACCAAAATTAGGCGGCGGACTCAACTGTGGGCCGAGATATAAGGCCGAAATTGTCAAATTTATGGGGCGATAGGTATAACCCCAAAAAACGGCTTACTCCCCCTATTGTTTTTCAATTTTCGGGAGTATTCATCGTAAAAATATGGAATACCGCAAATCCTCTAAAATAAACCTCGAGGCTTTTTTGATCATCTAGAGGAAATAAGGTACTAGGACATAGGATCGCCTTGGTCTTGTTTATCGAGTTTTTCAAGTATTAGGTCTCTAGTTCAAGTATTAGGTCTCTCTGGTACTCAAATTAGTTCTCTAGTTATTAAGAAAATTTATCATAAATGAAAGCTTTTACATGTTTTAAATACAAGCATTGCATAGTTAAAATAATTAAAAATTATTTTAATTTAATAATTTCGCAGAGATTATTAAAATAACCGTACTTAACTAGCTATCTAATGAGCTGGAAGACAATTCCCGTCAAATTCGATTCGTTCTTTGATTGGAAACGTAGGTTTATTATTAAAATTGTTAAATCTCATTATCCATATAAGCAAAGGATTGATTAAATTCAGGCCCTCTCCATCTATTCGACGAGTTTCGCAGTACCAAAAAACATGGAGACTTCGAGGTGGAGGTTGATGTCAATGGATTTGACGAGCGCGAAATTGAAGTAATGATTTTATAGTCTATAAAAAATCTTCAAAAATGAACCAGAAATTGATATATTTTAATCTTAGGGCTAAGTCTAAGGGGATTTCAAGCTACATAATGTTGATTTATCTGTTTATCGTTAAATTTAAATAGTTTTAAAATAATGTATAATTAAGAGGTTCCGTTGCCAATTTTATTTTTTGGATGCAGGCAAAGCCTGCTAATATTTTCCGTGAGAGTGTGTTGGGATAAGTAAACATCTCCAAGTCAGTCAACACTTATTGTTATCATTTGGACCTTTCTAAAGTTATATTTAAGGTAAAAGTCTTTGGGCGAGAAGTATCTGTCCGATGTCTTCACGAGGACCAAAGTAAAATATTTTCCAAATAATGCCATTTACGTTCATTATCAGATAATCGTCGTGAACTGAATCGTTCTTATCGCTTACCTGATGATGTTGATGTTAACAGCGTGGAGTCTAAACTTTCAAATCGTGGAATTTTAACTATTAGGGCTGCAAAACGTGAACCAATACATCATGAATGTATAATTAATTTTAATTTATTTTAACGCGTTGCGTTAAGACGCGTTATTAAAGGGTATAAGGTGTAAGAAACTATCAGAAATATGTAATCATTGATAGAGATCGAGATTTTGAAACGCCTGGACCTATGCCTGGACTCTGGGTTTGAATTATTGACCAGGGCTGAATCCTGGGCCTGTAGTCCAGGAAAAACCCAGGCCTAGAAAAAACCTAGGAAGTCCAAAAATGACTGGGCCTGGACTCTGGGTACAGAAAAAACCCATGCCTCGATCTCTACTCATTAAGTACTCCGTACTCTTTAACACTATCTAATAAAGTCTGATAATATATATTGCCTCAATGAATATCTTATTATAGTTAATAATAATTTATTCTTACCACACTTGTTGCAATAGCATTTGTTCCTTAACATTTTTTAAAAGCAGAATATCTGCCAATTAATTAAAATATACAGTGGCGGAAAATTACTTAGGGAAAAATTTTCTCTTTCGTTTTTTAGGTTTTACTCAAGGAAATTTTCTTTTAGCTTTATCTATTTTTCTGTATTTTTGTAGCCTTATTTAATACCTATTAAATGGTACCAAATATGTCCAGGTACAACTTTCTATTTGGGTAGAAAAATTTATAATAGTTAGCCTATCCAGAAATTGCGCGGAAATTTACTTAGGGAAAAAAATGAAGTTTAATTTTTTATACGAAACCAACTTAGGAAAAATCTGAAAAAATTCCTAAGATCTTCCCTAACAATGGGATGAAGAATCGCAAAAAAATTTGATTTCTAACTCACCCCCATCATCGTGATTTCGAGATCCAAAATCAACGAAAAATGGGGTGATTTGGTGGTGGTCTGATTTTAATAAAATATTTCGTTCCATCGAGCCCAGATAAAATTTTTCTTTAATGTTCAGATTAAAGCCCATTAAATTTGTTACAAAATAGGCTTAGTGCCATTTCTTTAAAAAATTTCTTCATCGAGATACACGCTGAAACCTTTTACTTTGGGTAAAAATGCGTAAAATCAGTCGTAAATTTGCCACGTTATAATTCTTCGGTATTTATCTCGTTGAAGGAATTTTTTAAAGAAATGGCATAAAGCCTATTTTGTAGCAAATTTTATGGGCTTTAAAATAGTCATGAAAGAAAAATATTAAATAGATCAGAATGGCCACCAATATTTTTTTAATCAGATCAACCCCAAATCACCCCATTTTCCGTTGATTTTGAATCTCGACATCTCAATAATGGGGTTTAGTTAAAAGTCAGAATCTTTTTCATTCTTCAACAAATTGATAGGGAAGATCCCATGAATTTTTTCAGATTTTTCCTACATTGGTTTTCCACAAAAAAATAAACTTCGTTTTTTCCCTAAGTAAATTTCCGCGCAGTTTTAAAGTAGGTTATCTATTATAAATTTTCCTGGTCAAATAGAAAGTTTTCTCGGGAAAAGTTTATAACCATTTAATAGGTAATTAATAGGGCTACAAAAATACACAAAAATAAAGAAGGCCAAAGAAAGAATTTTTTGAGTAAAACTTGAAAAACCGTGAAAAAATTTTTTCCCTAAGTAAATTTCCGCCACTGTATGAGCGGAAAATTTAATCATTTTCTATTAACCTTTACTTTCAGCAACATTTCCTCAGTCAGCTGGGTTTACCAACTTTCCAAGCTTGAAAAAATCTGATTTTGAAGTGGAGTTGGATGTTCATGAATTCAAACCTGAAGAAGTTGAGGTTAAGGTTTCCGGCAACAAAGTTAACATTCACTGCTTGCATGAAGGGAAAGGTGCATAGAAATTATAAATTTGGAGCTTTGTACCGTTCTAATTTAGGGCTTGGTATTGTTCTTATGGGTAATAAAGATCAGATCGGAATGCGATCTTGCTCAAAACCTCGGTCGAGTTTCCAAGTTAACTATCTTCGTATCTATCGATCCTCAATTCGGTCTCATACTTAACTTAGTAAATCATAAGGGATAAGAATCAAAGCAGGGTAAAATAAGGATACTCAAACCGGGACTTAATAGAATAATACAAAGCACGATTACAGTACAGGATAAATCACGATTACCTCTAATGCCTGATTATTATATCGTTCAAATTTAGACTCAAGCCAAACTGTGAAAAATGAAATTAGTCGCTCCTATGTTCTTCCAACAGATATTGATCCGGATTCTGTCAAATCAAAACTTTCTGATCGTGGAATTTTAACTGTAGTTGCATACAAGAAGGCCTAAATTAACTAAAAGGATTGGAAAATATTTAATTAATTTTGAACGGAAATTATTTTTAATAATTTAGATACCGTATTTACTCGATTAATTCCATAAAGAATTAACTTTTGTAATAATTCTGAGATTGGAAAATCCTAGGTAAATCTTAGGTAAATCTTCTAGTATGTATAATTCCACTGTCGAACAAACATTAAAATAACAGCTATCAAATAATTTATTCATGTGATAATCGCTTTCCAAAATGCATTCTCCTCTCTACATAAATTAAGAGTTTTATAAATTATAAGGAAAGGGAAGATTAGCTGGCTAGCTTTTTAAATTTAAGGTTTTATTCAAATTAGATTTAGAAAATTTTAAAATGGAACGATTTGGACCGAAAGATCGAGTCAGGCCTATGATAACTGGCACCTATCTAACTAAAAAATCCACCTATCTAACCCATCTATTTCTGGAATTAAGGTTGCCGTTTTGAGTCGGGCCGACGTCTATTCTCTGAAAATTTTTTAGAGACTAAATGTTTTCTGAACCAAAAATAGTGCTAAATATGATTATGATCAAATTTTGTTGTAACAATCAATGTTTAAACCAAATAGTTTAAATTTTAAAAATTTCGGGAACTTTTTACGCACCCTGTATAAGACTCTTTGTCTTGATCAAGACTTTTCTTGGGGCTTTTTCGGTCTTGGCCTGAAGTCATTGTCTAGAGTTTATTATATTCCATCGAGCTACCTTGTTTAGCTTTTCCTATTAACTAAAATTCTTTGAGGAATTTTAGTTAATATTTAGATTAAATTTTAAATAAAACGAGTCTGTCAAGAAATTTCCAAAAAATAAAATTTTTATCAAAGGTAAATTTTAAAAATTACAATGGTTTTTAAAGAGTTTTAAATAATAAATACAAGAGTTTTAAATTGAATAATTTAAATAATAGGGGTTAATTGGGGTTAGTTGCGAGGTTATACTACCTGAAAAGCGATAAGATAAGCATAAAGATCAAAACTTAGTTTTGTTTACTTAACAGTGGGATTCAGAAGAATGTGACCTTAAGAGGCCTGTGAAATTCATGACTGAATTATTCAGGCATAAGAAAGAACCGTATCTCTACAAGGAAAGTTAGATACCGAAGGGCACTATTTTTAATTCATATCATAATTGTAACGGTATACTGAAAATGGATTTATGTCGAAATTTACTACCGATGGATCTATCGTTTATTATGTCTTACCCATCACTTAGCAATACAGCAAGTTTTTTTGAGTTTCAATACACTAGAAAAGAAAATCAAGCTATTCTACGTAAAGATTTGATGCTTATCTTATCGTTCAAAACAACGGAAAAAAATAAATTTAAAAATGGGTTAAAAAATAAACTTAAAAAAAAAGGTTAGGATTAAAATAAATTTAAAAACGGGTTAAAATGAATTTTTAAAATTTGGAACTTGGGTGTCATCTTTTAAAAAATTTTAAAAAAATATTTACAAATTTAAAAATACGTTTCTCCCAAAATTCAAATCAAACATCTCTTCACTTTATAAAAAATCAGTTTATCAATTCGAGCTCTTCAAAACGCTCTGATTCCATGTTGTCAGTATCCATCGAACAATAACCATGCCATTTCAGAAGCATATCCTTTAGAAATGCATTGCATTCCAATTCTTTGCCTGCAGTACCAAGAGAATTGCATTTCGACTTTAGAAAGTTTTCAATTTCATTTTTTATCGTCCGGTAGAATCTAAACGTATATTGAAATTATTGTATGGGAATAGAATAGCTAATGATAACACTTAAGGCGTGAACCTAAGAGGTAACACGTTTTTCCCCAAGAATAGGGTTGGGGTTTTCGAGTCGGGCCGACGTTCGAGTTATTCTTTTCGGGCCTCATATTTTTCGGGCCGGTCCGAGCAAGTCATTTTCGGGCCAAAATTCGAGGTTCGACTTGATCTTTCGGATCGGGCCGGATCGGGCCCCCAACCCTACCAAAGAGGGTTCTTATATTTTTTCGGTCTTGTGGTGCAGTACTGCTTTTGTGTTTACGGAATCCTCTATAGATAATTCTTTGAGAGTGAGGAATTGTATAAGGGATATAGGCAATTATTTGAGCATAGTATATGTAAACGAATTTAACCATAAAGTGCTAACTACCCAACACTTTAAGTGAAAAAGTTATCACTTACCCAGTTTTCAAAATCTCGCGATCCATCATATCGTACAGCTTTAGCCCATATTCCTTTTCAGCATCATCTTTGATGAAGGAGCTCATCTTGACAGTTCCTTGTTCATTAAACGTTTGGAGGAAGCGTTGAGCGAAGCAGAAGTTCACAAAATATTTGCCCAATCCAGTAAATATTTGTTTTAATCCTTCCTTATCAAATGAAGGTTTTGGTTGTAAATGAGCATGTGCATGGGCAGAAGCGTGCTCATGTATGTCATGTTCAGACGTATGAGAAGAACTGCCGATATCATGGACAACAGTTGCTTCCTGAGCGTGTTTCTCATCAACCTACATATTAATAGGAATGTACTTTCTAGAAAATTTTCCAAGATGTGATTTAAAATCAAGCGAGTTAGCTTATTTAAACTCAAATTTTGGTGATTTTTGGGGTACAAGATGTTGTACAAGTATACTTACAAAAAGAATACAAGTCAGCCTTATCTTCTTTATAGGCCTAGATAGGGCCAGACTAAATCAGCCATACCAACGCGATCAGGAATCTGATCTTTCTCATTTTGTTTTACTCTTATTGTATTTTTTGTTCAAGAACGTGACATAATAAATAAGGGGAATTAATTCTGATTTGATCATAAGTATTGTAGTGACCGTGCCATGGAAGGAATATGAATGAATAGGGGAAACACATCATCGTCTTGTATGATGATAAGGTTGTGGAAGCTTGGGATTCGAAAATCTGCATTGACAGATTCCCCGATATTCCTGATAATGATCCCACAGACAATAAATTTCCACGTTTCAGGAAAATTATACAAGTTAGAATATTTTAAAAATATTTTTGACCCATTTATCATATCTCACCTCCTTCAAATTTTCATCCAAAATTGCTTCCCAATTTAACACAAGATTATCCAATTTAGTCGTTAATAAACTGTCAAACTCCTTTTTCGTTTTATCCAAAAATGCATCATTAAAATCTTCATTCAACACATTCTCCGCTTTATCGTAGAACATAATTATGCCATCCAGCATTTTTATCGCTTCTTCTGACTTTTTCAATGACTTTTTCAATAACTCTTTTAAATGCTTAGTTTTTACATTGTTTTTGTTCAATTCTTCTAAAACGACATATCTGAAATCTGTGGCAAATTCCCCATATCCTTCACTAAGTGACATAACATTGGTTATATGTCCGGCATGTACTTTGTTTGATGATTTTTTTGGTCTGAAATTAATTAGTTTTTGCTAAGATGAAAATTTGTCATTAATAGGCAAGGATCTGAGGTTTATAAATCATCTATGACTTTATCTTATATGTTACTGAATTAATCACGATAAGTGTGGAATGGGTGGATACGGAGTGGCTGATTAGGGTTGAACAGACGAAGAAGATCAGTGGCTAGCCTCGGTAGTATCTCAGATTAAACTGACGCTGACTTGTATACTCTACTAACACCATTAGACTACAGTTCCGACCGTAATTCCGACCCTATTACAGTAAAGCAGCTGGGCTATAGCTATTTCTCTCCTTTAGCTAGTGCAAATGTTTATTCAACGGCTGGGAGCGAACCAGCATCTTCAGTAGACCGGACTGGTGTGTTAGCCATTACACCACGCCGCCTACTGCATAGCCTTAGGAAATTAATAGCTATATGCTTTACATTACTAGTTTTCGAGTTTCGATTGAAGTCATGATATGATAAAGCTTTTATAGTTTAATCTAGATTAATAGAGAAACCCGGAAGATTAGAATCTTGTTCGAAATATTCCTATCCCTTAAAGAATTTAATAAGAGTAATTTAATAGGTAAATATTTGAATAGTACCTATTATCATGCTCCTCATCTATCAAAGTTTTTCTAATGTCTTCAATACATTTACAATTTTGTTCCATCTTTTGATACAACTTTGCTATAAATTTTTTATCGTTGACCGATTTGAATAAATCATTTATATCTTTTCCAATGCTAGTTTCTAAGGTATGGATAACATAATCCAATGTCCATACACTTTGACGGCACATATCAAGCGAATATTTTCGGTGAATATAAGTCTTGTATACAAACACTTTCTTGTCCGGATTGACCTGGAAATGTGTAAAAGTATGAATGGTTAGATATGTATTTGCGAACCTCTACATTCTTTTCACGTAGATCCTTCACATGTTTATCCAAATTTTCTATTTCTTTCGTGATTCCTTCTGCTATTTCACCCTTTCCATGGGTAGAGACCTCGCCATGTCCTTTACCAGCCAAAGAAGCATTTTCCTGTCCCAATATCTCTTCCACCTCAGAAACTTGATTGTCATGTTCTTTACCAAGCAATGGAGTTGTCTCATTATCCACTCCCTCTTTTCTCTCAGAAGGTTCCGCTTTATCTTCCTTGTTCTTTCTATGTTTTTCTTGTTCTTGGTTTGTATTCTTTTTATGGTGATCCTCAATCCCCTTTACATGCTCCCCTACTTTATTTTTGTGGTGATCCTCAATCTCCTTTACATGGTTCTTCACTTTCCTTTTGTGTTCCGCTAAAGCCTTTTCCAAGAACCCAAATGGCTTTGATTTCGAAATATAGTGCTCCAAACTATTTTTATTCTCGCCCTCACCAAGCTTGTTATAATCTTTCCAGAATTTTGCCAAAAGATGATGTGCCTCCGTATAGGTCGTTTTATGCATTGAATAGATGTATGCTTAAGATAGGATTATTAATGTATTAATTTTTCGGAAATAGAGATTCAGAGACCGTGACTGGCCAATCAAAGGCCGGGAATGACAATTGGCGAGAGCCTCGGCGAGGCCTTCTCTCTCTAGAATGAGATTCTGAGTTGATTTATAAAAGTAAATGGGTAACTCTTCAGGTTACTTTATTAAATGTTTACCGTTCACTTCCAAGAATTGAGACACTGAAAAGAATCCTGGCACATTTTTCGTATCAATCCCCAACATTCCAAGTGAAGCAAGATGGAAACCGTCTGGTAACAATGAATCATCTGGAAATAAATTAAATAAAGTAGTATATTATTGTATATGAAATCAAACACGAAGGCTTCCTCTTATTTGGGGAGAGTGTTCAGGATTATGGGGGAGTGTTAAGAGGAGTGTTAAGGATATACTACTTTAAGGATATATGGGGGGAGTGTTAAGGATTTATATCCTTGTTGGTAGTAGTATGTCAGTACGTTGCAACCTTGGGATTTGCAAGTAAAACTAGACCCGATTGCGTTACTATTCGGGACGTGGAAAGCCTCGGGATTTACAAGAAAACCCCTGATAGCCTCTAACTCGGGGCTTGGGACTTGTTCAAATTTTTTGTACACCTACACACAGCGGAGGTGCTGTAACAATAGGACTTACAATAATGCAACTTCAACACTTTGGGCTGTTCAAACTGCGTATTATACTTTTCAATGTAGCAGTACATCTTCCAATTCTTCTTCAACTCTTCATTTTCATTCTTCGAAAAATATTCATCTTTTTCTTTTAAAATTTCCAAAAGTGGTTCAATTTCTGTTGAAATTGCTTCAATTTGTTTCCTACTTTCACTAATTTGTTCCCTAAGTTCTTCAATTTTTTGTTCACTATTTTTAATTTTGTTTATATTTTCTTCAATTAGTTTATCAAAGTTATGATGTTCCAATTTTTTCTTCAGCTTAATAATTCCTTTACTTTCAGTATCCGTTTGTTCCTCAATTTTCGGAATTTGTTTGTAAAGCCTTTCAGCATTATTCTTAATTTCTCCTTGTTGCGCAAGATCCTTATTTAGTGCCTTAATTTCTTCAATTTTTCTCTCAAGCTTTTTAATTTGATCTTCATTCTTTTGAATATTCTCAATTTCGATATTTTGTTTCTGAATTTCTTCATTTACAATTTTCTCTTGCCCTTTAAATTCTTCCTCAATTTTTTCTAGCTTTTCAATTTCTTTAAGGATCTGTTTCTCAATTTCGTTATGGATTTCTTCATAATATCTGAAAAATTATTAAATGATTTACTAATATTTAGGGGAATATTAATAATTACTATTGGTTGTGGAGTCTGTATAATTATAGAAAGAGTTTACAAAAGTTTAGCCACCGGCACCGAACCTGCGACCACGACCACCTGCTAGTTGTTGCTAGGCGCTTTCGCTCACTATATGCAGTAGCTCTACCTCTGAGCTACCGGTGCATCTACTAATGCATTCTCTTTTTCCTTATTAGATCGTTTAACCCCGGACTAAGCGTTTTAAATGCTGCTGGTTGAATCATTTTTACATTATCCTTGTCGAGTAAGGTCGGCGGATAGTTGGAAATCCTCGGATATCCGGATCCGAATCTTATATTCGAACCGAAAATTTCGGATATTTCTGAAATAATATAAGGCCAAGATATCCTTGTCTTACACCTCTAGCCCTGTAAATATGATAGCTCCTTGTCACTCGGCCCCCAATAATTTTTAGTAAGAACCCCAACCCTAACATGCAGGTTCACGGCAAACCCCGATTTACGAAGCAAAATTCGAGTTGATTCAGGGATTATTTAATATGTTAATGATTGTATTTTTAAAACTGTGAGGTACGGGCGAGGCAAATGAGGCACTATTCCTGCTCGTTAGGATTGCTGGAATCTCTTACAAGATTTTAAAACACTTTCCAAATTAACTTACGTTTTTTTCAGTCTATAGCTCCCCATTACTTTACTCAACTTTGACGCAAATTCGAGTACATTGACATTAGTCTCGTTTTGCAACATGGCCTCCATGTTAACTTGTCCTTCATCAGTGAAAAGGATATTTAAACGATTAACCAAACAATACAAAATGCTCAAAACAGCTTTTCTATTTAACGAATTATGGAATTCTAATTCATTTTTAGACTGCTTCTGATCCTTTCGCTTCTGTTGTTTTTTCCAGTTTTTAACACTGAATGCTAGTTTTTGCATAATTCGTGAAATGTAAACATGCGTAGATTCTTCGACTATTTTTTCGACTTTTCCCAAGTGTTTGCCTTAATTATAAATATTTTTATTTGAAGTAAGAAAAAGATTTTTTTAAAATTATCTTTGTTTCGGCACATTCGACCTCTCAAAAAAGTTATGGAACACGTAAAGTATTGGCCAGACCAATGGAAGAAATAACTAGGGCCGTCATTAATGGACCACTACTAAAGGTCTATGTGCCATTCGCCACCATATACCGTAAATATCCTAATAGAAGCCCATCCCTAATAGAGCCCAACTGTTGTGTATGGGGGACAGCACTTAAAGAGTTTACTATAAAAGCCAGCCAATAGTTAGTTCTGGATCTTAGTCTTATTCCGTTTTCTACCCAAATCGTCATCTTCTTTTATTTTATACGTGAGATAAACGTTCTGTTGTCTTCCTCTACGTAATCGGGGTCGTAACACCACTCATGAGGGGTGGTGTTTACGGTAATTAAAAATATGAACTATGTATAAATGTGCCCGATAGTCCCAGAGGATGAGTAGGGTTTAGGATACTGTAAAAAATCCCTAAAAATAAAAATAAAATAGAGTACCTAATTTCTCAATCGGAGTAAACTCTTCAATCAAAAACTCATTGTTTGCCAGTAAATCAAACAAAAATTTCAATTCTCTATCAAACTGATCCACTGCCTTATAAGCTTCCCCCAAGAAATAGTTGGAATTAAGCTTCCAATTGAGAAGTTCATATAAGGAGTTGAGAACTTTGTTAGACTTCTCCTTCTTCGCCAGCTCTTTTACAAGTTTATTTTCCTTATTTTCACCTCCTCCCAAATATTCAAGAATATTTTTAAAAGGAAGTTCAAGGGCTTTTATTTGCTTCGTTACTAGATCAGTTTTTGATCGGATTCCTTTATAAATTTTCCCCTCAGCACAAAAAACTATAAAATTATCAAACACATTTTTAACAAAAGTTGCCTTCTCATCCATCAGATTTTCAATCTTTTTAGTTGTCAAATGCTCTCCTATCTCCATATGATTCTCCATTCCATGTTTAGCTTTGAGTTTACTTTGTAATATAGTTAGGAACATTTTTTGCTCCTCAAAAGTTATCTCTGAACGATCGAGGTTTAGAAGAGTAAATTTCAACAAATAAGTTGCGAGAGAACAATCTTGAACATTTTTTCGGAGAATATAATCCACCTCTATCTTTGGAAGTTTTTGGTTGATGGAGGATGAAAGTGTCTTATTTTGAGGATGAGTTTTCAACTGAAAATTTTTATTAAAATTTTTAATAATTTTTTGAAAAAGGTGTTAGTGATAATAATAATTGGATAGTAACCCCCGAACAACCTAATCAAATGATAGGAAGAGATTCAAAATATATAGGAAGAGAATGATAGGAAGAGAGATATAATTAGCGTAGTTCCGACAATTGGAAATTGGAACATGAAATTGGAAAATTTTTTTCGACTCCAAGTTCCAAGACTTCGTATCCAAGTTCCAAGACCTTTTCCTATTTCTATTAAAATTGTTAACAAAAATGTCCTTGGGGGGGGGGATTCTTATGGGAAAAATAGGGAGATATTTAAAAGACCAGTTGCTTTGCTTATTTAGCCAACCTTTTTTATCTCGTTAGTCAATTCTTGATTTATATTCATATCCTTAAATTTATCTGACAGTTCTTTATGACCAAGTTCCTTAGCATTTTTATCCATCAATGGCAAAACGGAATGGAAAAGATAATGTGCTTCAGTCAAGGTGAACTTGTGTTCGTTGAAGCGATCCACTTAAATAGTTTAATTAATTCAGTTTATTTTTAAATTTTCTTACAAGCTCCGGAGTATAATTCAGCCCATTCTCTGCTTTCTAATGACAAAGCCGGCATCTGCTTCATATCAATGAGCATGAAGCTATCATCTGCGAGTCTATATCCTTCTTCATCAACTTGATCTACCACTAAAAATGTGTAATTTATAATGGTAAACGGAAACTTTGTTAACTAAGTCAGGCGGTTAACCAAATAAATGTGAAGAAGATTTAAGGATACTGTATATATTTAATATTCTCTCACTCACATAGGAGAGTGCCTGAGGTGTCCATGAGACTTCGTGATGAAATTTGGTAGACAGATAGATCATACCCTTCTCTATTTATGAAATTTATTCCATTTTCACTGCGGGGTACCGTGGACCGAGTTATACGCCTCCAAAGTTTTTGGAACTGCTAGGTGCTCATTATTATAAAAGGATAATTTAGGAGAGTATAACGGAGAGAAAATTACCGTATTTACTGTATTTGTGCCCCATGGGGCTCTATTTTTCAACAATCCTCGAAGCGGGGCTTTATATAGAAGGGGGGCTCTAATTCTGAGGGGGGATATAATACAGGAAATACGGTATTTTAGCATTCAAAGGAAGGGACTCGAGCCTCATGGCTGTGATATCTTAGATTAAAGGATGTATATAGTTCTAAAACACCACAAATTTTTCATTAAACTTTACCCTTTATCAAATCCCATTCATCCGGGCGCTCAAAAATCACATCTTTTCTTTCAATAGAGCAATATCTTAAACTTTCCTCTAAAAGTTCTTTGACAAACATTCGACATTTTTCAGTAAAATCAGTGGCATTTTCTGATTCATTATATTCGACACTTTTGCATAACTCTTCTATTGTAGATTTGAGTTGATTGGAAGTATTTATGTAGGGTCTGAAAATAAAATATTTCAGCATAATATAGAACCAGGATCACGCCCATCCGATTTACGATTCCCGAATAACGGGAATTCAAAATTTTCGGGAATTCACGATTTCCAAAAATCGGGAATTTCGCTGATAAGGACCATATATAGTTTAAGTTGACCCGAGATAAGAACAATGAGATGATTAGATTGAAGCCGTGTATGAACAGTTGTCCGAATTAATTATAGAGACATTCCTAGAAGGGAGAAGGGACTCCAGGGTCCTAGAAGGGACTCCAGGGATCTCGTAAAAATAACTCCAAAAATCAAAATTTCAGAATAGCTTGTTTAGGGATATTCCCGTTTAAATTAAAATGGGCAGGATAATAAAAACTTTCATCTCCTTGATAAAATATTAAGATTAACTAACACTATATTGACGATTCTTTTGCCCAAAACATTCCCTAACGAAGCGGCATGCTCCGCCAAGAAGGATTCTGTTCCACTAAACACTCGAATTTTTGGTTTTCCTTCGTCATTGAACATGGCAATAAATTGAGTTACCAAACAATGACCAACAAGAAGATGAGTCTTTTCTTTAAAAAGATTTATCAAACTCTTATCAGCCTCCTTATCCTCTTCCTTTGCTTCTAGAACCATTTTTGCATTTTCGAACAAGTACGCGATTTTTTCCATGTATTGTTTTTGATACTTTTCATTCTCGGTTGTAACAAGCTCGTCTAAATCATTCAACTTCTCCGCACGTCCTTTAGAATCTTAAAAATAGGTTTTGATTAGAATCCCGTTTTCTTGAAAATTTAAGATTTATATTCAGAAAATAGAGCTCTAGCGAGAGCTAGGGAGTGAGAAATAAACTTCTCTTTTCAGCTAGGCTAGGAGAAGAAGAAGATTGAAAAATCTCAAGATTAAAGTCTCAAACAAGTACTTATAATAAAGTCTCAAATTCCCTGACTTCCAAAGACTGGGTCAATCCTAATCCCTACATAGCCTTGCATAATATAAATAATTTGAGTAAGAGCTAGATAAAAGTTTAATCCCGAGTAGGCTTCGGTCCTGCGACCTCCTGGCAGTTATTACTAGGCACTTTCGCTCCGCACGTACAGGTGCTCTACCAGCTGAGCTACCGGGACGCTGCTTTCACCTACTCTTTTATTAGATCTTAAACCTCCGCCTACTGAGCGTTTTAAATGTTAGACACTTGATCTTTCACTTCCTTACATTTGCTAAGAAACTTTTGTTGGAATTATAATGGGATAGAGGAATATTCCCCAAGACTATCTATAAAACAGTATTCTTAGTATAATACCTTTACTAATATCCAAAAGCTTCTCTGTAATAGGATTTACTTTGTTCAACTTTTTAATTAAATTGTTCATACGATTCTCAAACTTTTCTAATTTTTTTCCAAGTCGATTCAAATATTTATCCAAATTTAATCTTAATCCAAGCACTTCATATGCTTGTTCCTTTCTGCTTGTTTCGAAAGGATTGTCTTTTCGCAAAGGGTTGTTAAGTTCATCTCGAAGTTTATTGAAGAGAAATTCCTCAACTTTTATGTAAGCACCCTCAGTTTGTTTTGTCTCATCATCCAAATTTTTAAATATAAACTTTAAAAGCATAGATTTTTAATAGTAATGGATTAGATTTGATTTTTATCATAGATTTCCAAACAAAAAAATATTGTGAGGATAAGAAAGATAGAAAAGATAAAAAGAGATTCCTGTTTTACTATACTGCGTGCAAGTTAGTCGACATTATCTCAAGGACACCAACCAACCGTACTTTATCAGTAGCAGATTTTGGTCGAATGAATTGAATGAGTAATAACCCATAACAAAGATACCCGAGAATATTTGGTATAATCATGGATTTCTAGTGGGGTTATTTCTAGTGTGGGTAGTTCACGTCGGAATCTCGATATGGGGTGCAAACCGGTATCAATCTCGGTTATGTAACATCGACAAATGTCGATATCTAATTTTTCCTAGAATATCGATATCGTCCAACTCTAATTTTTATTAAGGTGGTCTTGAATTGATTTAGTATCAGAAACCATGACAAAACATGAAAATTCCTATAAAAAGAGCACATTATCCCATTAACAAAATGAAAATTTCTGTTTTTGAAAGTTTTCGGTTATAGTAACAAACCTTTAAATTGGCAAAAAATCGCTTAACACTCTCCAACTTGCTGTCAATCTGTTTTGCAAATAAACATTCGCATCGGAAATACTTAACAATATCTAAAAAGAAATTAATTCTCTCATCAGACTCCTCGGGCATAGTTTTTGCTTCTTCAGTTTCTTCGGGCATAGTTTTCTCCTCATCATAATCATCGGATGTTTTCTTCTTTTCACATTTATTTTGATATCTATCTGGCAAAATAATTACAAGCTTTTCCAGAAATTCTTTTTGTTTTTCAGGCTCTTTGGATCCTCGATCAATGTTGAAAGCCATAAATTTAAAAATCTTTGAGGCAAATAAGCACTTTGAAATTTCTTCTCGCAATTCATTGTTTGTCTTCATTCCACTAGTGTTTAAGACTAGTGAGTTGAAGTCGTAAATATTTTTGCTGGATTTAAACTGAAAATTAATAATGAAATCTCTATATGACGACAACACTCCATGTCACATTCCGTGTTAGGTTAGCCCTATTCGGTTCCGATTGATGCTTTTGGACTGATGTTACTTTCCCCTTACTTCCTAACTGAACGAAATTTAGCACGATTTATTTTGTTATAGCTGTGTTTGGAATTTTGAAATTTGCTCATACTCGTAATTAGTACACAGGTTCGAGTATAAATTTTGGTACGAGCTTCCAAACACGGGTCATATAGAGGCATTCCCCTGTAATTCCAAATATCTCTTGCCTTGTTATATGCAGCATCAAATGATTTGTTTATTTTTCCATTAGAGATGTCAGACCGTAATAATTCTAGAAAACTAGAAGAATTCATTACATTCACAACATTGTCTTCAGAAAGCAGCGAAATTTTAAGACTGTTCAAGTAATGTTGAATTTCAGTAAAAGTCAACTTGTGCAAATAAGATGCGGCAGCTGAAAGAAATTTATTAGTACATTCTATTATGAACTAGCGACCGGACTGCTTTTTAAGCTTATTTATAGTCTTGTTAGGTCCGGTCTCTAATATAACCAATATTCATACCAGATTCGTTATAGAAGCTTTCCCATTTATCTTCGCTCATTCCTGGCATTTTTACCATTTTTTTCTGCTTCTTATGTACTTTTGCTTGATAAAAGCCACGATCTTCAATTTCCTCTTCTAAAATGTTATTTAATATATTATATATTATTCAAAATTAAATTTACCATTTAGGAACGGAAGAGCTAATTTACTCATGTTGATTTGATCAAAAATAGTTTTCGGGAACGGCTGGTCTGTTAATGAACAGTAGGCTTTAACAAGCTTTTCTGATGTCCAAAGCATAGTTTTTACAACTTTATTTCCAAAACCATACGTGAGAGCCAATTTTGGGTGGAAAATGTTATAGACTTCCTCTTCCGATATTTTGTTGAATCTGCCTTTGATATCCATGTATTGTTCAATTGTTCTGTCAACAACCAATCTAACCATTTGTTTGTTTTTCATAGTGTCAGTGCTCAAATACTTTTCCATCCATTCAACACCAATACCGTTAGCTGTAAGTATTCCGACTCCAAAGCTAAGAATCTCAGTCGGTGTATTAATCAAAATTGTCGTGATTTTTAGAAGCTTTTCAGGAACCATATCATATTTAGAGGCAAAATACATTGGAATAAATGTAAGGAAGCTAAGCAACGCTCCAATTCCCATGGAATTTACGGACATTGCGGCAGTTTTTTCAATTTTCATTGAAGCTTTGACCTAATAATTAAAGATTTTTACTTAATATTTAATATTAAAATATTCTATGGGTTTCATTTTTATGAATGAAGAAATCTCGATAAAAATTTATCGGTATTCTAATAAAAGTACTTGCTTGAATAATAATTTTTGGGATTAGAGGTCAATAGTTTTGTAAGTGACTGGGTTCTGTGTTTGATTTACTAACCGAGCTGGATCTTGTGCTTGTAGTCCAGCATAAACCAAGAAAGAGATTTATGACCATTGGAGGAATAAAGGAGGATTTACTGGGACAATTAAAAGTGGCATAATATATTTGGTCAATGTCGGCGATTTCGAGGATTAATTTGAAATAAATGGTCATGCGAAGCGCACCTAATGATACCAGTTGAGAAAATAAACTCCAAGGGCTTCTATAGGAAAAGTTACAGTAGATTTTCAAAGAATTTTGTGGTCCATTGGGGATTTTTTCTGCAAATACGAACACAAACTAACCTTTGATTCAATGAACTTTCTTAATTTTTCGGTTTTTTCTCCGTCTGATATGGCAGGGTAATCAAGTACAATTATTTTCTTTTTGCCAAGGATTTTGTTAAAAATTTTCCGGATGAATTTTTTATTGTTTTCTTTATGTTTATCCTTTTCATCTTTTCGAATTTTGACAGTCATATACTCAACATCAGGTGTTGGAAAGAATCCAGTCGAATATTTTAGAAAGAGTGCAGCACGTGTGTTTACTTCCCACTCAGCGAATTCAAGAGGGACGAGAGCGCCGGAAGTTGATGAAGCAATCTGTTATTTTTGTTATATTTTGGACTGCTTATTTCCCCTAAACAAATAGCCTAATATCGTTGACTATTTTTTGAAATCGGACCTAAGTTATGGAATCTACTAAGAAGAACAATCTCACTTTATGGTAACTGTATGAATTTGCTGCCCAGTGGATAGGGAAATGTGCCTTTTCCAAAACTATTAATGAACTGATAATAGTTGATCAGTTTCAGAGCATTACTAGGTACATACACTAAGAACTAGGATGCTGGTTAAGAGACTATTAGCGTAATGAAGTGTGTAGAATACATATGAGATTATTTCTTATCGAAAGAACTCTGGTTTGTACAAAAGTCAGGTCCGAATGAATAAAAGAATCCCGATCGTCCTCTCAGCTACTTTTGGATATTCAGGTACTTCTGTATGCAGGTACTTTCGTATTGACACAATAATCCACTCTTATCTCTAAGTATGATCTAATAATCCACTCTAAAGCACTCTTATCTCTAAGTATGACCTAATAATCCCATCAAATACCCATCCCAAATAGGTAAGCTTTGATCAGAACACTTGAAAAGATCCGGAACCCTATTGATCGTTTTAAAACTTACTTGATTAGTAAACACATTCAAGCCCAGCAAGCTGAATGTTGAGTACAATTCAATATAATTGTTCATCACAGAACCTGCAGCAGCTATATTTCCTGCTATCCATGAACTGTTCAAATCTTTCAGAAATTCTTTCATTGTAGAAGGGAAGAACTTTCCTCCTTGGAGAGTATTTAAGAAGCGTTTAATAACAAACGAATCAAAGGTTTCAGCAAACAAAGGTGTTAGAGAGTAGAGAAAGACTGTGAACGGAACCACTAGAAAGGGGCATACATGTGCCATTGCTGTAATCATAGCAGGCCAAATAACAACGTCCAAAAGCGCTCCAATAAAGCCAGCACCAGCCAAGCTCATTATCATTCCATAAGCAATGTCTTTTGTCAGTTGTTTGGCGTTGTAGACAGAAAGGAGTATCTGAGCTCCAAGACGACCTCTGAATTCTTTATACATTTCCACATCGTGTTCCTTAACCTTCCTCGAAATAACTCGTTTTATAGGTTCTTTCAGCTCGTAACATTTCTCGACTTTCTGGTCAGCTTCCTTGATCTTTTCGTGATATGTCCGGAACACATCCATATAAAAATCTTCTTCAGGTTTAGGCTCAACAAATTTCGATTTTAACCAATCCCATCCTTGCCGAAATATATTTTTTTCAATTTTCTTAAACTCATCGTTAAGATAAGTTAATGCTTTATTTGAAGGCGGTAAATGGGAAAGAAGCTCCATTGGTAAAGCTCCATTTTTTCTTTTATGTTTCTTTAGATCCTTTCTTATCTCTTTAAATTCATTATATAGGAATTCGATAGCTTTTTGATTCAATCCCGCGTCCTTTTCAGTAAAACTTTCATGGGTTTTAAAGAATTGGACAATCTCTTCGTACTCCAGACCACTAATTCCTTTGAAACGCTTATCCAAAGGCTTTATTCTTACATCAAACGATACAGTTTGGAGAAAGTCGAACGGATGAATCTTCGTCTCACCAAGTTTTTTCTTCACTTCCTCATTCTCCTTAACTTGAATCTTTTGTTCAAATTGCTTTTTAGCTTCCTCCTTCCATTCTTGTATTTCTTTTTTAAGCTTATTAATAATTTCGAGTTTCTTTTGTTTATCCTCTTCCTTTTTGATATCCTCTAACAACTCTTTTTCCAAATTTGTTGCTAATCCCTCAATTTCTTTTTTAAGCTGTTTATTAAAATCTTCTTTCTCTTTTTTGTCCAACTTTCTCATTCTTTTCAAAATTTCATCCGTTGTTTCATGATTTTCATTCTTAGAGATTTCCCCTTCTGCGCCATGTCCTTGACTAGCCAAAGGAGCTTCATTCTCTCCCAATTTCTCTTCCACCTCAGAAACGAAATTGTCATGTTCTTTACCAAGCAGTGGAGTAGTCTCATCATCCACTTCATCCATTTCCTCTCCTCTCTTAGAAGATTCCGCTTTATCTTCCTTCCTAGTTTTGCTTGTTTCTTCGTTGATGTCCTTACCTTCCAATGTATTCATCTCATCTTCATTCCGAACAATATACCCCGGCGGTAGAGGCCCATTAATCTCATTTTCCACATTTTCAATAATTTTACTCAAAAGCTCTGCAGATTTATGAAAAATTCTCCTCGCCGTTTCTTTTATATTGCTTAAGCGATTCTTCTCAGTATTCGCTACAATCTTTGTAATATTTTTCAAGGTTAAGAAAACCTTTTCGCCTTTTCCAAAACCTCCTTTTCCTTTGTAGAGTCCTTCAAGAAGTGCAAGTGTTCCTAAACGTGTGTTTCCTTCGTCTTCATCATCATCATCCTCCTCCTCCTCTTCTTCCTCTTCCTCTTTTTTCTCTTTTCCTTCCTCATTTTCAGCTCCTTGGATTTCAAGTTCATCAGTCTTATTCTCTTTAGCTTTATGATCCTCTCCCTCTTTCTTTTTATCACCCTTCTCTTTAGATTTACCCAGTTTCTTTCCTTTATATGTCATCTTCTGTCTGACACTCTTCAGATTCTCAAGCTCCTCTTCCATAACTGTAGTGCCTAGATCAAAGATATAAGCCTTTGCAAATGTATCCTTTTCTAACGGAAAATTTAAATGACACCCTTCTTTTGGTATTTCAACTGAATTCAGTTTTTGATAATTTTCTTTATCATTCCTTTCCAAAAACATATTCACAAATTCCAAAATTTTTCCAATGGTTTGATCATCAGATGTTAATCGACCTTCTTTGATTTTCACTTCCCAGCCAATGACCTCTGGCATAAAATATAAATCCTCTTTGACAATATTCTGTTCAATCACATAACGTGTAACGTCAAATTCTCTATTCCTAAAATAAGAATAAATTTACAACTCTCCAACTCAGAGTGAGGATAAAAAATAAGGCCCTATGAGAGGAATTGGGCTTAATTAAAGTATTTAATAATGGAATTGCCGTGATATCTGCAAGGCATCTTAGCGAAATTCGACTGTAAAAGTTTATGCTATTAAGCAGGCCACGAATGTTCTGGCTTAAACAGTCAAGAGTATGTTAAGCAAATTTCCCAACTACTTTATTTGCTCAAATACTTATCTTTATCCTATTAATTACCCTCTTCAGCGATTTCGAGGGGACAAATTAATTATCCCCTCAAAATATTTATAATTAGCCTTTCTATGACAACCAAAGATAATTACATCGCCTCTATTAAACACACACTCTACCGAGAGATTGGGTAATAATTACCCAGAGGAGATTTAATTGTGGAGATTTATTGTGGAGATTTAATTTTTTCCCAAAGACGGGTAGACTAGATATTAGTCATTTAGCGACACGCTGATTAATTTTTATTTTGTTTTTAATGACTCCTGGGCAGAAACCAAAATAATATTTTAATAGCCGATCAAAAAACAAACATTGAAAATAGTTTTCTCAGCTGGTTGTCAGAACTACCCGTTGACACTACACGCCTACTCGCGACTCTTCTATAAGAAAATGTTCTCGGAATTTTAAAAGAGACACTTTTCTCGAATGCTCGTTTTCCTCTCAATGAGGATTCAACATAATCATCGTCAAAGTATTTTGTTTCAGTTGTATTTGAAGGTTTTTCAAATTCAGCAGTTTTCTTCTCGTCGTTTATCCCATATCCATCCGCAAGATGAATGCAAATGAACGAAGTAAACAGTAAAAGAAATATCAAAGTTGATTCTTTAGGAATCATCTAGAATAACAAAATTTAAAAATTTAATTTGAAAACTATAGTAAACGAATGTAAATATTTAGGATTAAAATAGGAGGTTTATCAAGACCTGGCCATGGATACGGATATGGATACAGATAATATCAAGATGCCTGCGGATAACCGCCTTCATCCGCCGTAAATATCCGGATACGGATACCAAAATCAGTATCCGTGACTAGATCTGGGTTTCTATGAGGGATAATAAGGTCATTTGTAGCAAAAAGGAGCATTTAGGAAATAAAACAGAGCTTTAAGGAGGGGGGTTTTGTAAGGGTGTGCACCTCTATCTAGCTGATATGTCGGACCCTGCTTATGTCCGATATATCAGCCTCCAGCCTATAGGGAAGGGAAAATCATATATATAGTTGAGAGGAATATACAATTATAGGCATTTTCCTATTACCTCCAATGCCTAACTAAGGTTAAACAATTGAGAAAAAAAACAATGGAACCAGAGTTTAAGGGATCTCGACGGCTGGATCTCTGTTGTATACACAGAAAATCCGATTATAGCGGATGGACAACGATGCCATATAAGCTTTTTATATTAATGCTAGTTTCAGGATTTCTTTTTAATAGTATTTTAACTAATTAATTTAAAATAAAATTTAAAAATATTTAAACAATTTTAATTTTTAAAAGAGAAAAAAATTCTATATTAATTTTTATTGTTTATTAAAAGTTAATAGGAAAATTAATTTTTTTAAGGGGTAATTTATTTTATAAAAAATTTTAAATTAGAATGTCTATAGCTAATTCTAACAGCTATTTATGGAGAAATTTCTTAAAGCCAAAACGCCCGCCCGCCATATGGCATGGAGGGCGGGCACTTGCAATCCCTCTAGAGATAGGCAGGAGAGCCATTAGGCAATTACTAAAGCCAGAGATGAAGGAAGGGATTTGTCTATCACTCAAGCGAGAGATGGATGAAGGGATTTGTCTATCACTCAAGCGAGAGATGGAGGAAAGGATTTGTCTATCACTCAAGCGAGAGATGGAGGAAGGGATTTGTCTATCACTCAAGCGAGAGATGGAGGAATGGATTTGTCTATCACTCAAGCGAGAGATGGAGGAAGGGATTTGTCTATCAATCAATTGAGACATGAGCAAGGCATTTCTCTATCAATCAAACGACAGGAGAGGGAAGAGATTTTGCAATCAATCAAACGAGAGGAGAGGGATGGCAGTTAGCAATCAATCGAGTGGAGAGGGAAGACATTTGGCAATCAATCAAAAGAGAGGAGAGGGATAGCATTTGGCAATCGCGCATGAGAGAGGAGAGGGATAGCATATGGCAATTATTCAAAGGAGAGGAGAGGGATGGCAGTTAACAATCACTAACTCAGACGAGAGTTAGAGGAAGGCAGTTGGCAGTCAATCAAGCGAGAGTTGGAGAAAGGGATTTGTCTATCACTCAAACGAGAGGAGAGGGAAGGAATTTGTCAATCAATCAAACGAGAGGAGAGGGAAGGGATTTGTCTATCACTCAAACGAGAAGAGATAGAAGGCATTTGTCTATCAATCAAACGAGAGGAGAGAGAAGGCATTTGTCTATCAATCAAACGAGTGGAGAGGGAAGGGATTTCGTAATGAATCAACAAGAGGAGAGGGATAGCATTTGGCAATCGCGCAAACGAGAGGAGAGGGTCACTCAGAGAAGAAAGTCTATCACTCAAGCGAGAGATGGAGGAAGGGATTTGTCTATCACTCAAGCGAGAGATGGAGGAAGGGATTTGTCTATCACTCAAGCGAGAGATGGAGGAAGGGATTTCTCTATCAATCAAACGACAGGAGAGGGAAGGGATTTTGCAATCAATCAAACGAGAGGAGAGGGATGGCAGTTAGCAATCAAACGAGTGGAGAGGGAAGGGATTTGTCTATCACTCAAACGAGAGGAGAGGGATAGCATTTGGCAATCGCGCAAACGAGAGGAGAGGGAAGGGATTTGGCAATCAATCAACGAGAGGAAAGGGATAGCATTTGGCAATCACGCAAACGAGAGGCGAGGCATGGCAATCAATCAATAGAGACGTATGGGAAGGCATTTGGCCATCAATCAACCGAGAGGAGAGGGAAGGGATTTGGCAATCAATCAAACGGGAGGAGAGAGAAGGGATTTGACAATTAATCAAACGAGAGGAGAGGGAAGGCATTAGACAAGTAATCAAACGAGAGGAGAGGGAAGGCACTTGCTATCAATCAAGCGAGTGGAGAGGGAAGGCATTTGTCTATCAATCAACCGAGAGGAGAGGGAAGGGATTTGGCAATCAATCAAACGAGAGAGAAAGAAGGCATTTGTCTATCAATCAATAGAGAGGAGAGGGATAGCATTTGGCAATCACGCAAACGAGAGGCGAGGCATGGGGTTTGGCCATCAATCAACCGAGAGGAGAGGGAAGGGATTTGACAGGCAATGCCTTAACGTTAAGCAATATTCGACGTCAAGCATGGTAGGGCGCATTTACTCAAACGAGAAGTATTTCTAAATAATTAAACACTTAATTAATTTCTCTAACTATCTCTCCTAATTTACATTAAAAAATTTATTTCTTATAATTTAACAAGAGTGAATGTTAAAACATGTTTATCCTTTTGGAAGGTTTATCCTTGTTTATTTTGTTATCTTTTTGTTGAATTATTTCTAAAAATTCTTCGGCAATAATTTATCTCGGGTCATTACTTAAAGAGTTTTGTAGTTGCTGTCTTGTAGCAAATTTCAAGGGCTTTCGAATGAGCCCAAAATGAAAATTCAAAATAATCTAATCGGGGTCGAAAATATTTTTAAAGAGGCTTACTAGTAATTTTAATCCCAAAATTAAATTTTGATTTTTATTAGTCTTTTAGGTACCTGAGGACAATATTTAAACGATAATTTAAAAAAATTGGGGTCTAAAATGAGAAAACACGAAAATAGTGGTGGAACTATAGTTATGTGGAGCACTGTATAAGCTATCAAAAGACTAATAATCATTAAAATAAAACTTTACACTTAAGCGAAAACTTCAAGTCAAGTCCTCATAAATTACTGTATTTAATTTTTTAAATTTTTATTTGATATTTTAAATAAAGTTAGCCAGAAAAACCGAAGGAGTTAGACTACAAAGAAGATACGTCCGTCACTCCTCAGGTGCTGGTCGTATAATTAAGTAGAAATTAGCATAATTTATTAAAAGTTTTTTCCTTCTCTAACACTTTTTTGTCTAAATTTCTTTCTCTAACCTTATTATAAATTATAAAATAAATTTTAAAGTGTCTATCGCCTGACAGTCTCATGATTTTGCTTCACGAGTGTTAAACATTTCTTCCTCGTGCTTTTGCCTTATGACTTGTGTAAACAGCGTAAAAATCAATTTAAATAATTAATTCACTAACTTTTAAAATTTTAATTTAATTTAAATATAAAATTAATTTTTAAAAAAGTTTGGGAATGCGCAAGTTTTATATTATGAAGTGTAGGACAAATACGCATCATTCAAAGCCGGAAGATTTTGATTTCCGCAAATTTTCTTAGCAGCTTGTTTATTGGTATAATCAGTTTTGGAATTTTAAATCTTGAAGGTTTGGTTATAAAGCTAGAAGTCTCAATGCCTTTCAGTTTCTCTTTGCCCTTCTGATTTTTGTTATTTTTGTAATACCGTCATCTTAAAAAAGTTAAAAGTACTACCGTATTATCACTACAAAATGGCCGGCCATTTTATTTTTTAATCACTTTACAAAGTGCCATTCTATTAGCATGGCCTTTCAAATGGTGACGGCCATTATATTTTTTGATTTTAAATTTTAAAATTTGGAAAAATGTTCGGCGTGAGTTAGTAGATTCGACACAGTTAGACATTAGGCACAGCAAATTCAATTGCCGCAAGCTTTACTTCTGATTAGAATAATTTAAAATTTCTTAGAAAACTCGAGGGATTAGGGAGGATTTGGAGAGATCAATTGGATTCCCGTTGTTTTTAGATAATAAGAGATTGAAGAGATCAAAGGATATTTGGGGAATATTATGAATTAGGACGACATGGATGAGTATTTTATGAAGCGGGAGGATTAAGAAAGAATTAGAGGGATTATTAAACATGGAATCCCGTGTCAGGATCGGAATCATTGTTTTTGGAACTATAGTTATGTGGAGCACTGTATAAGCTATCAAAAGACTAATAATCATTAAAATAAAACTTTACACTTAAGCGAAAACTTCAAGTCAAGTCCTCATAAATTACTGTATTTAATTTTTTAAATTTTTATTTGATATTTTAAATAAAGTTAGCCAGAAAAACCGAAGGAGTTAGACTACAAAGAAGATACGTCCGTCACTCCTCAGGTGCTGGTCGTATAATAAAGTAGAAATTAGCATAATTTTTTAAAAGTTTTTTCCTTCTCTAACACTTTTTTATCTAAATTTCTTTCTCTAAACTTTTTATAAATTATAAAATAAATTTTAAAGTGTCTAGCGCCTGAGTCTCATGATTTTGCTTCACGAGTGTTAAAGATTTCTTCCTTGTGCTTTTGCTTATAGCATGTGTAAACAGCGTAAAAATTAATTTAAATAATTAATTCATTAACTTTTTTATCGATTAAATTTTTTATTTTTTTATTAATTTTTATTAATTAATTTAAATTTTTATTAAATTATTTAAAATTTTTATTAAATTTAAATGTGAATTTAATTAAAAAAGAAACTTTGGGAAGATATACCAAATTTTATATTATGAAGAGTAGGAAGAGTTTGTAAATCGGTAAATTTATAAGCTACCAGATTCTCCTACGATACACACACTTTAAAAAAACCTTTAAAGATATAGATGCTTTTTAACCAAAGAACCCTATCAAATAATAGAATCATGAATTAAATAATATTTAAAACACGGAAGCATGTTTCTAAACTATAGAGACATGTTTCTAAATGTTAATTGATTAAGAATGTTTAAAACAGACAGGATTCTAAGACTTGAGTAAACTAGACACCGTATTTTTATAATTAGAACCCTGTGATAGTTGAAATGTGGTGATGATCTAACCTCAAATGACTTTAATTTAAATAAATGACATTTTATCCCATTTTGTTTTGTGCCCTCTTCTATTTAAGAAATCAATTCTCCCCACAACTGTTCATTTGTTAATTTGTTCTTTAAGTTGTTCAATCCCCTTTTGAATTTATCATTGCAGTTCGCTCCTAAATTGTATTGCCTCATTTTAATTAAATAAATATTAATTTGGTGTTGTGTGTTGTATTGAATTGTATTTAATAAGAGTAAAACATAAACCAGGAAACGCAATTTCTCAATGAAGAATAGATCCATGGGGTTCTATTTAAAAAACGGTATAATATGAGATTACGTGTTAGTATGAATCAAAGAAAAAACAAGTTTGTAAAAAATATTTCAATTCAAAAGCGCAATAACATGCTCTTAAATACAAATCGAGTTAAATTACCAAAGTTTATACAAAAATATACTGCTAAAACTAGAGTAAGTCGAGTACCGAGTAATAGGGAAAAAACCGAGCTCGAGTAATCCGAGTTTGAAAAACCCGAGTTCGAGCTCGAGCTCAACTTTTTAGGCCGAGTTCGAGTTCGAGTAATTTTTATAAAACAGTATTTTAAAATAATTTCAATAAAAACAATGCTTTTACTAAAGACAATTCATCATCAGTGCTGTGTTTTGGGCATTTGTTGGAAGTAATGCGTTAGATCATCATCCAAATCCCTGTTATTTTCGTTAATCCGTCTATATCCCTCTTAATCCGCCGAAATTCCATGATATGCACACGATCCATGTTGAATCCGGGCCCCGGGTTGAAAATCAATGGATAATATTATTTCGGGGATTCGTGTAGATTAAGGGGATATCGAGTGATAAGAGGAATGAGATGGATATCAAGGGATTAAGCGGGATTTGGGCCGATTATAGTGAGATTTGGGTATATTGGGAGCAAAATCTTGGAAATTCGTAAGATTAATTGGGTTGCGGTTGCTCTAACCGTTGCTCTATCCCTCTCTTTTCGCGCCGCTGGCTTAAATTTTGCGAATTTCTGAAGGCCAAGTGGGCACACCCAATTTTCAGAAGGCCAGATCCCTCGCTATTCTTTTAGATCCCTTGAAATATTAAAATATCACTAAAATTACCTACTTGATTCAATCCAATGATATAATCCTCCTTTTTCAGCGCCGCAGGCGAAAATTTTAAGAATTTTGGAAGGTCAGAGAGCAAATTTTCTTCCTTTTTTAGCGCCGCAGGCGAAAATTTTGAGAAATTTGGAAGACCATGAAACTAGATTTCTTCTTTTTTCAGCGCCGCAGGCAAAAATTTTGAGAATTTGGAAGATCCTTAAGCTAAAAATCTTCCCTTTTGCGCCACAGATGGGGCATAAAAATACTCGGTTTTAACCGAGTCTGTCGAGTAGGAAGTTTCCGAGCTCGAGTAATCCGAGTATTATGATCCCGAGTTCCGAGTCGAGTAATTACGCAAAAAACCCGAGCGGTCGAGTCGAGTAACTCGAACTCGACTTACTCTAGCTAAAACTGTTAGCATCTTATTTTTTTTTATTGCTTCAGATTTTATAACAGTAAAATAATTGTGAAAGGACGGAGGTACAAAAGTTTCCCGAATTTTTTAACGTGCTTGACTAACTCCTCCAATAATTTTGAAATTATTCATAAAACTTACTTAGTTAAAGTTATTTTTAAGCATCCGTCATTGTGATTTCTACTTTTCTGCTATTTTTTATCAAAAGAGGCAGAAAAAATATTTATAAAAGCAGGTCAAAGGAGGCTTATGGAGGCAGAACCCAGGTAATAGGGGTATAGTTGTGTTTAAATTCGTAGAATTTTTTATTTAAACATAATACATCACATGAGATATTTCAACATACCCAATCAGATGGGTGTATACAACATACACCATCACATGACGCATTTCAAAATTCTCTATCACCTGGGTATTTCAACATACACCATCATACGGGGTATTTTAACATGTGTGTTTAACATAATGAGGTAAAAATCAATTCTACTCAAATTTATTTAATAAATTTTAAAATTTTTATCCAATTTAAAAGGTGAATTAAATTAAAAAAAGGTTTTTAATGAAAAGTAAGAAGAGTTTTACTTTTTAGAAAAATTGCAAGATAAATACATGCTACGTTTCTTCTCCTAAGACACCCAAAATACGAATTCTTTGGGCCAAGATATGCTTCTTTTATAATGAAGCATGCTTAAGTGTTTTGAAAAAGCATATTTTGCGTAAGTGGAAAGATGTCATTTAAAGTATGAAATAAGCCAATAAAACATGAAATTATAATATATCCAACTAAGAGGAAGCATGCTTCAAAAACAGAAAAGATGTGTGTTGTTAAATGAAAAAATTTTAGGAGAAAAAGGAAAAAAG